GGAGTAATAATCTTCTTCTATGTTGGCCCGGGTCTAAACACATTTTTCACTTGGACGTTTTTTTTTTGTTTTTTTTTCAGTCCATCATGTTGATACGTCGCTGATGATGCCACTCTTGGGCTGCTCTGGTCATGTGGTGATGATGGGTAGTTCAACCATAAGAAGGTTTAACCAAAGTCCCCTGTGTAATCAACAGCACCATTAATTCATGCAAACGGCACAGCACTTACAGTGTATGTCACTCCTTGCACATATATATATATATATATATATTTTTTTTTATTTTTTTTTTCTTCACGCTGCAATGAGGTCTTGACCAACACCAACTATTTTAATTACAAAAAAATAAAAAAAAACCTACAAAATAGCGCAGATAACCCCGTCCTCCGCCAAGAAAACTCATCTTTATCAATTAGTTGTTAATAAAAAAGGTGTCAAGTTGTACAGTGCATGGGAGATAGCATAATGACACCTAATCAATTTACACACATTTAGCATTAGGATGTGCTCGTTAAAGGTCATGTGTCTATTAACGTGTGTGTGTGTGTGTACAACGTTCTGTGATTATTTCCTGTAGACGGGACCGCTGCCTTCAACAAGGGTTACAATTATGTTTTTTGGAAATAGAATATACATTTAGGTAAATATATATCAAGATTCTACAAATAAAAATTATCATGGGTCAGATCAGTCTTACGTAGTAAGAAAATTAAGGAACAGTTAGAGCTGACATAATGTAATTTATTAGTATCAAGACAAAGGGGTTAATGGACAGATCAAAACATAACAAAAATATATATTTTCACTTTTAAATCATATATACAAATGAAGCTTTTAAAAATGCTTACATGTCCAGCCAATGCTCTCAGAAAACGCCTTAACCTCGGCGTCCTTCAATTCCTTGTTTGCCCATTTTTCTTGCGATAGTTCGTAAAAGTAAGGGCGGTCTCCAAAGCATTGCATAATGGTGATTGCATAATGCACTGATTCCTTTATCTCCATATGTCTCTGTGCAACTCTGTACTGACCCCTCCACATAAACATCCTCATAATGCCTCAGTCACAAGAGAAGAAGCTAAGAGAACAGAAAAGAAGGAAGGAGGAAAAAGAAATAAGGGGGAACGTGAAGCAAAAATGACGTCAATACAAGCGTGTGAGGCAAATGTGAAGTAAAAGGAAATTTCTTTCGCCGTACCGTGTACGTAGTATTCTCTTCATAAATGGTGAGTGCGTGCCACGTACGTAGGTAGCAAGACAAACTCAAGAAATGAGTACTATAATTTTTTCTTGCACCTGGAAAGTTCGAAGAACCCAAGGTATGCGAGCACATTTGGCGAGAACGCCACCTTCATACCGTCGTATCCCTCGACCTAACCTTTTCTTCCGAGGGTGCACAGCCTACGAATCAGTGAACTACCCCAACTACTTTATCCGACATGGTGACTTCAGGCTGCAGATACGGCCATACGACGGCGCTGCCTTGTTTAAGACAGATGCCAGTTTCAAGCCGGAGAAAATAGGTTTGTGTATATTTTGTGGTGTCGACATTTGATATGCACAGGACGTTTGATATGCACAAAAAGGCTCCACGTTCAATGACATTATACATGGAATAGACTGGATGTTGATCTTATTTAATTTTTTTCGGTTATTTGATCTTAATAAAAATTAAAAGAATTTTCAGTTTGACGAAAACCTCAGCCGCAAGATTAGTGAAGCGTTTGATGTTGGATTATTTCAAATGGCATTAAAAATAAATGTAGTAACGAAATGCTCTTTATTTATTTATTTATTTTCTTTTTTCTTTCTTTTTTTAGCCGATAAATGGGAAGTACACAGGGGTGCGGGGTACCGGTAAAATTATTTTAATCAAAATCAGTTCATATTGATAACCACCGAAATGATATACACTGATGCTCATAAGTTAAGCAACACCCCGATTTTTTCAGAAGTTTCTTCTATCATGATCATTATTTCATTTGTTGGTGGGATTATGCATATTTCTTTCATATTTTATAAATAACTTATTCAAGTTGAATATTTCGGTTAAAGAAATACACCACACAGCTTACTGTAATAATCAAAATAACTTTATTAACCAAACGGTACTAAAATATGCCAAACCATGTGTCAAAAAAGTATGCTCACACAGCAAAAAGTACGTGCTGATTAAAACAGCTTATTATGAAAAAATAAAGTTCGATCATTTAAGAATTAGTTTTAATAAAAGAAGACTGTAGATAATAGATGATTAATCGTCTATTATGCAATAAATATCGGGTGTGCTTTCCCTGGTTTTGAACAACAGCTTCACATTGTCTCCTGCAACTTGCCACCAAATTCTGCCAATCTTGCTTTGGGAGCCGGTTCCCTTCTTCAGTTGCTGCATGCTGGACCTCTCTAATGTTTCTAACTGGAGTTTGTCTCTCATTTACTGCCCTGTCAATCATATCCTAAGCATGTTCTATTACATTGAGAATTGATAAATATGCAAGCCAATCCAAATGTGGGATACCGCGCTGTTGCAGCGCGTCTTCCACGGACCATGCTTTCTGGATGGGCGCATTGTCCTGCACCAAAATGGTTTTTCTTTCTGGTTTTGCTTGAATGTGTGATTGTATGCACCCCAATGGTATTTCGTCTCTGTATTGTTGACCAGGGCACCTCCCTTGAATGACGTACGGTGGCAATTTTTCATTGTTTGGCTGATATGAACTGGTCCTGGTGGCATAATCGAGCCAGATATCTTCATCTCTTGCGTCGGTTAATATTGGTCTACCAGAAAGAGGCTTGTCCAATACATAACGAGTTTGGCGCCATTTTGCTACCAGCTTGGACACTTGACTTGGTGCTGCTTTTTTGTTGCCTTGCAATCTGTCTCTTTGGCACCCCAGCACGATGACTTCCCATTATTTGCCATATGATTACCTCGTTGAGTCCTCTTCTAACCATTGGTTGGTCCAAAATAACAAATTGTGCCCATGAAACTAGCCAAACTGGAAGCTCCTCATGGCATGGCCAAACTGTGTTTTTCGCAAGTGGCACCCCCATTGCATATTCTATCGTGTCCAACAGTAAATAGTACTCTAATGTCACGGTCCAGTAAGTCAAAGTAAAAACAAAAGAAATATCTAGCTACTGTACAAATTTTGCCTCAATAAAAATTTTGGTTGCTGAGAAATTCGAGAAATAAGAAAGTGTTGCTTAACTTATGAGCATCAGTGTAGATACATTAAGGTCCCTTTCTGGCGCTTCTAGAAAAATATCAAAAGCCGTCCCAAACTTTCTAAGTTAAGCAGTTTTTAATAGATAGGTTGCATCTGACGGCAACATCCGTGGGATGCCAATATCGTGGCCGTATATTATGCCCCTTTAAGTGTGAATATTGTACACGAATTAACACCATTGAATTAAGGTACCTTCGACAAGGACCTTGGTCTTTATTTCACCCTTGTTTTAACACCGTTTGTCTTTCTATCCGTCTGTTTATTTGTTCAACACCAGTCTAACTCAAGCCGATTTGGAAGGATTTTGAACATTTTTTTAAAAATAGGTCGGAAATGGGCTAACTTACAATTGGTTATATTTAATTGGTGATCCAGAATTGTACATGATACTTATCTATTGGCATTGCGATATAGGATCATTGATCTTGACCAAAAGGTGCTATAATGTCATTGTACAGTGGATGTCCTCTCAACTACCACAATAAAAAAACACCTCTAATTATGTCTGATTATTAAAAGTGATGAATGCTTGACCCAAACCATAATCAACACGCGTGCCCAATTATATAATCCTCTGAGCTTCGCTTCCAGTTATGTCCCCATTGGTTGCGCCACCCCCTGTCCAGAAAGGGGGCAGATGGCAAGGCTACGCGATCATGCCTCCCGAGGGCGCGGCCTGGATTATGCGACTGTCAAGTTTCTTTCTATTTTGGCTGTACCTAGGCTTTGTTTTTTTTTTTTTTTTTCAACAGGACGTCTGCTTTTACAAGCAGGCTTCTTCAGTTAACTTTTCAATAGACAACGAACCCCCTAAGCTGACCCAACCTGAGAAATGACATAGAATCTAGATCACATTTTGGTTCAGAGAAAAGGGCGGTTAGTTCGACCCCCCTTCCGAACCCCCCCCCCCCCCCCCACCGGGCTACGGGCCTGACTTGATTTATAACCTGGTAAGAATTGAATTTTTGTTCTGAAAACCGTTGTACTGACTCAATTAAAATACTCCTTTGTTATTATTTGTAATAAATACAATCACAAAAAAAAGGGGCAGGGGCGGTTCCAGGATTATTTGAAAGGGGTGGGGGACAACTGATTACGAAGCCGACCATCACCCTCTTGTGTCCCGAAAAAATTTTGGTGTGTTGGAGAGCAAACTATGCCCTTTGGTATGATTAAGCAAGTCAAATTCTTATTTCAAGACGGGAATATTGGTGTGATATATTTTTCAGAAACCGAATTCTCTGATCAACGGACCCCTCTGACCTCTTTCTTAACATCTCACTGCTGTGCAATACGAACATTTTTATAATGAGGTTGAATGTTTTTATTTATATTTTTAATATTTTTAATCTGTTTTGTTTTGCTAGAATAAATGGGGCATGGTAATATTGAAACTCTTTTATGTACTCGACCATGATGCCAATAGCGTGCCGTTATGTGCAGTTTAAGTTATGTTTGTAGTAAGGAGGTTCTTGATGAAGACGCCCAAAGGGAGTTATATCATTTTGATATATTTGCAGATGTCACTTGAAGACGATATAGTTAAGTTCTTCTGTCAAAATTTTCACATGTTGAATTATATATACTCTACTCGGTCGTTGCGTTCTAGCTGTTTTTACTTCGTATGGAAATTACACTTGCCTTTCAGCATAATAATTATGAATTGTGAAACATATGATGTACACAAGAGGGCATGATTATAATAAAACCCTACATGGTTTAGAAATAAATCGTTTTAAGGAACACAATCACGTCGATAAGTAACACCTAAATGACACGTTTTAAGGTACGGGCATTTATTGGTATCGTCATTATTTCATAAGCCTTTAATAATGTTGGTTTTCGACTATTTTGATTACAATTCCTATGGTTTCTTATACAATGCTGTGCAGATAAATGATATCGTATAGAGACGGTATTACGATCACGCACAAAGACATTAAAATCCACCATAGACACGGGTTTGGAGTTGGGACCGAGCCAGTCCTACAACTTGCAAGTACTCCGGGAAGCTTCTATATTTGAAATAACAGCCTGGGGAGGCTATGGCTTTAAGTTCCTCGTCATTCACATTGTTACCAATACCAATCACGCAGATAAACCAACCTGGAAATAAAACAGATGGTTAATTTACAAACAAAGTAAGGACATTATTTTTACTTCAGATGAAAATCGAAATATTATGGAAAAGGGGCGATTGTGGACGTATTACGCGTGGTAAATTAATTGTGGTCTCACAAATATAATACACAGGTCTAAAAATTATACATTTCGGTCAAGCACACTTACACGGTACAAGGATAGTTCCTTCTATCATAACTAGATGGCTTATTGCCAATCCGATAAACGAAATAATATTCCAAGACAATGCCCATTTGTATCTTAAAATATTATTGATAACATTTTAGACAGACACCATCCCCGTGATGTGAGCCATTTAAGCTGAGCGCAATTTAGCGAGAAACCACTCGAAGATTAGTCAGACCTGCTAGATCGATGTAGGTATGGGGACGAGGCCTTAGATTGTGAAACACATCATAGCCTGCTAAGATCCAGGAAAGGCTTTTTTCAGACTGAGTGTGGACTTCATCCCTAAAGATACACTAACCTAGTTTCTTAATGTGCGTTGCTCTCAGTCGCGGACTGCCATGGGTGAACACTCCATCGGTAAGTAGCCATATTAACTTCACGTTCTCTTTCACGAAAAATTCTTCAAACATGAGCTGCGCGGTTTCCAAGGCCAGTTTTCCGTTCGTTAGACCACCTTGGGTACAAATAATAATAATAATAATAATAATAATAATAATAATAATAATCATAGTGTTATGTGTTTTATCAATATCGTTATGTTAAAACGTTTCAAATTTATAAAAATCTAAATATAGAAATATTTTTGAGAGTTACACTGAATTCAAGAAAATGTTTTTTTAAATACGTGTGTGTTTCCGTGTTTGTGTGTGTGTGTGTGTGTGTGTGTATGTGAGTGTGTGTGTGTGTCAGAGAGAGAGAGAGCGAGAGAGAGATAGAGAGAGAGAGTTGGATCGGTTTCATTAACCTCGGCAATGTACACGCAAACGCTTGTGTGTGTGTGTGTGTGTGTGTGTGTTTGTGTGTGTGCGTGTGTATGTGAGAGAGAGAGAGAGAGAGAGAGAGAGAGAGAGAGAGAGAGACCCACCGCTTTGATCAATTGCATCTATGTAAGCTATAACGCTGGCCAAGTCAGTGTGTTCATTCAGCTCGAACTTTCTCATCACATCATCGGCAAACGTCAAGGCACCCACACGGGATCCACCAGGGCGAATGCGACGGAAGATATTAACGATTGTGGCAATAAACTGAAATGAACAAGATTAAATGAATTTTAATTACTGAATTGTCAAGGTCATTGTCTTAAAAATGTTACATAAACGCAGAACACTTGATATTCCATTTTAAAAATAAGTATGTCTATAATAAACGATCATTATTACTTTGTGCAAAGGTGCAGTGGTTAGTGATATTGCACCTGACATGTAAATTGGATATTCATAGACACGGGACATTTTGCAAAACAAGTTTTGTCTTGTAAATTGCAGGAAACTAGACAAAGTAAGGGTATCCATCCCTTGAGCCCTATGTAGCAACACTTGCAAACACTAAAGCAGAGTTTCTTGAAGGATATATGTTCTAATTTGCGTTAATTATCAAACAGAATTCCATTACCTTTGATGCATCTTTCTGTGTCTGAAACTGTGTTGAATTAATGCTGCTGCTGGCGTCCAATGCAAACACAACATCAAGATATGGGTTCCTGCAGGAACTGTACGTGTAGGAACATGGAGTGAGGAGAATCTTTAAAATCCTAGAGAGTTGACTTGCCTTCGTTGATGCCCCTTGTAATTTCATGCAACATAATTTAGAAACGTTTTCATAGCGATGTCATAACATATTGATTAAGACGATGGTAAAATGTATATATTGTATTAAGGCATTGTCAGACCTTTATTGCACACTTATCGAAAATGCAAATTAAAATTATATGAGGAAGACATGATTTCTAAGAAAAAAAATGGAGGTCGGTATTTTCTTTGGATCAAAATAAACTGGTTAGGCCCACTTTACACAGAGCTATAACCTTTTTGCCTCCCTTGGACGACCACTAATAAGGCCAGGATGTTCCTAAAGCAAGCAAATCTTGCCTCTGTGTAAACGCTACAAAGATCTTTTATTTGTGTATACTTTGAACTTGACAAACCCTATAGATTGAAGACCTATATGCGTCCACAAAAACTATGACAAGAACTGCATCATGAACTGCGACCGAAATCGTTCTAGTAGACTATATGGTCCAAGAATTGACAAACAATAAATTAATAGGATATTAAGTTTGGTTTGAATCATTGTATTTGTTACTATCAGATATCTAGCCTCTGAGGAAAAAATAACCTAGCAAGGATGAATGAGTAAAATTGCATCTATTATGTGCCGACCACTGACCGATCAATGGGCATACATTCTACAAACCAAGTGATACTTGTGCCTCCTTTCTCCTTTGCTTGAGACTCCCTTTAAATTATGGACCGTAATAATAATAATAATGATAATAATAATAATAAACTTTATTTAAAGATGACAAATCAGGTTGAATATAATCAAGTTTTTACTGCTTTAAATCTGATGTTTGTGCAGCCATTGCGCAGTCCTTATAGTGGTACCACAAACTGTAGCTGTCAAAATTTGCACACGGCAGGCACGTGTATTGTGTTTATATCTTCAGGGGCAAATGTTAAAAAAAAAACATCTGGTATATCATTTCTTCAAAATATATTATTAATTTTTCAATTCGCATCTTAAATACAGTAAATATTGACGGATACTCAAAAGTGCCGCTGTTCGTCAGGGCCACTGTTAAGCACTCCATGCAAAGGTATGAATAATGAGCAAGCTAGTTTATAGTGCCCTTACTCTCAGGGCAGTTAAACCCGAACACCGCTCAAATGTCGTTCAGAGGCCGCCGTATTGACTACCATCGCGTTGGAAGTCGTAGGTTGAAGGAGGTATGCATGCCAGCATTTCAGTGGATGCACCAGTAGTTCGCAGTCCCATCGGAGAGGCCAGCTTGGTCGCTTTAGAAGCACACGAATTGATTGAGAATGTACACAAGGTTTATTGTTTTAGTGTCCAGTCGGGCGCTTAGAAATACTGTTGGTCGTTGAAGGAACGCATAAAGGTCACCACTAAGTGTAAAGGGGGGCTGGCAGTTGTCTCAGTCAACGACAGTTTACAGAATGCATTTAACAAGAACTTACCTTTTCCCTGGACAATATAGTCCGACGCATACCCCCCTGTCACCAACAAAGCAGCAGTCAGAAGAAATGCATATAATCGCTTCATATCGATTCTGACTGTCGACAACCAGCGTTGGATCTGCATAACGTAACTAGTAGCTGCGCTGCCTTATATAATACTAACAACGGATGCGCCTCTGGCACGCTGATTGTGTTGTTATTGCCAATGGCCAATGTAATCGCCAAGGACAAATTTTATGGCAGTCTGCTACTAGAGAATATGGCAGTCTACCATAACATTTATGTGACTTTTGTATTAACTGAGGGGTAAGATGTACACTCACCGGCCGCGTTTACACACCCCTTCTATAAAACCGCCCTTGCGCTCCAAATGAAAACGACATTGAATTATCTGTATCAAAAAGAATTGCAAAGCAAGGAGCAACCCAAACTAAATTCTGCAATTGGTTTGTTTCAAAATACACAGTCATGTAATCAATTGGGACAAAAGTCTTCAAGATATAGACTCGAAGACCATAACTGTCTGTTGTAATGACAGTCTAAATGCAGCCATGGTCCACTATAATGCCTCAACGTGCGCTCGTTAAATGTTTAATTTCTTCCATGAACATGTTCTTTGAGACAACAACTCTTGAACAAAACTAGAACTGGGCACTAAAATAAGATAATTATTGCGTCCGGCGCCACAGCAGAAAATAAACACACATGGCTTTGAGGGATGTACAGAGGATGACAAGAGCATTACGCCTTGTTACTATAATTATTACTTAAGTTTAATGGCGGCTGGATATGTTAGATTTCACATTTTCAAATGTGTCCATGCCAACTGAATACTAACCACATGTTTACAGGCCAGATATCACATTGATTACGACATAATGTCAGTATGGGTACTTTGTAGGATAGCCAGATGTTCTTGAAATGGCCTCACCCTTCTGGTCCATGTCTTCAAAAAGGAATAATAATATGCTCCTATGTTGGCACGGGTATAAACACATAAATTAAGCCATAAATTGTCATTCACTGATTCTGTGAGTATTGCGATAGATGTGCGGGCCAGCACAATGGAAGTCTAGGGAGCGGCCGATGCCCTTTTGTTCCCTAACGTCAAGGCTGGCCAGATCCCCTTGATAAGCAAAACCAATATTTTATTGGTCACTAAAATTCCTTTGTTTTTAGTATCATCCGCTGGTTTGGCATTTTGTCTTTAACGTAGAGCAGTATACAGTAGTAAATTTCTCATCGAAGAAGAATGGAGGAAAATCCCCTTATAGCCCCATAGAGACGTCGTCTTAGTGTGACGAACTTCACAAGTACGGTAGAATTGCTCGCCACGCACTTTGGAAGTAAGATAAACGCACGGAGGAGGTGCGCTCACACCCATTTTTGTTAACACGTAGCCTACATTGAAAGCATGTTGAACGTACAGATACTAGTCTCTTGCGTGTAAGTACGTCTTCGTGGTAAAATACCCCGGGATTTCTGTTACACGCACGCCCAGCGCACTTACTCAGTACTTTTGTCTTGCGTGCTACGAGCGTGTTCCAGGTGTTCTATATGTCGCAGACAGGTTGTAGGTGCGTGTATCTTACTACTTGGCCAATTTTTTGCGCGCAAACAGCTCGTAAAAGCACGCACGACCGGTTGTAAGAGTAGTTTAAGCTTGTGAAACAAGATTCCAGAAAGGTTAAGATAATAATCGAAATAAAATACTGCCAGGCATCGGAGCGACCTAAAACTTCGCTCGCTTACCGCAAATACTGCATGCTACATATCCCGCCGCTTCTTTGTAGACCCCGTGCATGGCTACATTCAATCAATCCGTAAACCCAAAGTCCCACCTTGACATTTAAATTGGAACTCCCGACCAGTCAATTCAGGAAGTCGCAGAGGTCGCATGACAAATACTTGTCCAATGGCATGGCTTCTTCTTCGTAAGCCCGGTGTAATGGGAGGTTAGAGAGGACCGATTTAAACGTCAAGGTGGGGTTTGGGTTTACGGATTGATTGCGCCTATGCGGTTTGAAAATAGACTCAGGCTCAGGCACTAGATTAGCGAAGCGTTTGATGTTTGGATTATTCCAAAGGAACCTGATAATAAATGCAGTAACGTAATGTATTTTTTCTTTCATTTTTTAGCAGACTCATGGGAAGTAGGCCAACTCAGGGGTGCGGGGTACCGGTAAAATTTATTAACTTAATTCGTGCATCAGAAACCGTGAGCTCCCTGCTCTTTGCACTCAGAACTGGTGTGTGTGTGTGTGTGTGTGTGTGTGTGTGTGTGTGTGCGCGTGACAGTGTGCGTGTACTTTTGTGTGCTCGTAGGCGTAGGTGTGTCGGGAGAGGGGGGTTAAATTTAAGATCGTATACGATTTTCGATTCTATTTTAATTGCAATTTGTCTGATATGTTGGGCGATTTTTTTGTGCGAGATATGTTCTTTCTCCAATACTACTGCCACCGCGCAGTAGATTAATGACTGATGCCGCGTTGTGCCATATTGAAGTTTATGTTGCCGTGGCTAGGTTAAACAAATTATATATTAAGATACTCTCATGAGAGAAATCCCGCAAACTACTTCTAAATTTTTCTAAAACACATTTCAAGATCAAAAAAGAGAGCACAGACCTCTGCCAATTCAAGACACCTCACTTTTCATTTTTTTTTTTTTTTTGAAATTAATCAAAATCAAATTTATATTGATAACCACCAAAATGTAATAGATACATTTTAGCCCATTTCTGACGCTTTTAAAATATTTTCAAAAGCCGCCCAAAACTTTCTAAGTTAAGAAGTTCAGATGGGTTGCATTTGGTTACAATATCCGTGCGATGCCTATATAGTTAGGGGTGGGCAAATGAAAGCTTTTTTGGGAAATTTAATTTCAGACAAGTGGATTATATGGCCATTTTGCCTGCTGAATACAAATCTAATAAGTATTTTCATTTTAAATTACATCTGATATTGGTATCAAGTGATTTTTCAAAATGGCCATCAAACGCTCCCTCAAATCACATATTTCTCATGTAAATCTTTAAATATCAGTTCAAAGATGGCTTGTTATATGTCTAACCATATGATTTCATGATCAATGAGCGCAAAAAGATACATCATTTCGGTTGGGTCACTTCATTTCGGGTAAAAAAGAGGATTTTTTGGTCATTTTGAGGTAAAAATCACCCCAAAATCACCATTTCTGTGTACATAAATACAAATGTTTATAAAATATGCAACTGTGGCTTTTAAGTTAGGAAAAACAATATTACAACAAATATGGCCAATATTGTTCAAGGATCACATGAAACTGAAAAGTTTTGACATATAGAATAGGCATAATGTTAGTTACATACGGGAAAATTTCTTGTTTATTCCTGGATATTTGAAGTATCTAAAAATTTTAAGCGCATTCTAAATGTTTGCATGGGTCCATTCTTGCGTCCTGTTAAAATGTTTTGCTCATTCTTAAAACTTTCGAAGTGCATTCCAAGTGGAAAAATATCGAATGGCATTCAATTGTATTCTAACTGCACTATGAGCGCATTCTTAAGATTCTTACGAAATTCCAACAGCATTCGAAACATTTTGATCACATTCGAGGGAGAACCGAAATGGCAAGGCGCTTCAAATCTTGTGAGAATGTTCCACATTGTGCTTCCAATGAGCAGGAGTGCAACTCGAATGCATCTTGATTGCCGGAATTCAGCCAGCAATGAAACCACACTTGCATGGCATTTGAAGTGCATTCTAAATATTCTCACTATATTTAGACAGCATTAACAATATTCCTGATGTTTTCCAACTACATTCGAGCTGCATTTGAGAGCTAATACAATACAACCGAAATGTGCACGAATCATTCCAGGTGGGTTCGAAGCGCATTTTGAGGTATTCTTACTGGAATTAAGGTCAATTTGATATTACCCAACGAATGTGGCGCGAATTTTGAAAATTCTTCATTATGGTTCATTCTGCTTGATTACTTCAGATTTCAAATAAGTGTGACAGGGGGCTTTACAGTGCCTTCTGGTCTCAGTGTATTTCTTGTTGATGCTTTCATGGTGGTGGTGAGATACTCTTAAACTACGCAACTGAAACTAAGTACTATTCCAAGGTCAAGAGCTTAGAGGTTGTAAGAGGTTGATGTCACCTGACAAAGTTTTACCTGTTCTGAAAAAAAAAGAAAATTATACAGCATAAGATTTGTTGGTACACATCCATGAAGGTATTTTCAGCTTTGTTTTTATACCAAACTGTAATCCACGAATTCAGTATGTACATAATGGCCATTATTTATATTTATCTTAGGCTCGAAGTGTGTATTTTATGTTTATGTTTGTTTTAAATAACATATTTTTACAGATGTCACCCTAACAATATTGCCAATGTCTTGAATATGCTCATATTTGAACTCAGCAACCCTCAAAACATATAGAAAGACATATTATAACACATCATTTTTATACACTTAACTGTGAAAATATGGCCAAAAAGCCATTTCCCGCCTTTTTTCACAAACAAATAGCAGATACCAATATAAATCTTAAGCTTTGGTAAAAATTATTGTCAGATGTGTGTTCAGCAGCAAAAATGGCCATAGAATCCACCTGTTTTTAAAAAAAATTGTCATTTGCCCACCCCTAATATAGTGCCCGTATATCCATTTTAAGTGTGAATGTTGTACACGAGTTAACACTCAAGATTAAAGATACCTTCGGCTAGGAGATCGTTCTTTATTTCACCCATGTTTTTACCACCTTTTGTCTTTCTGACTAACTGTTTGTTTGTTCAACACCAGCCTAACCCAACAAGATTTAGATGGATTTTGAACAAAAATTTTAGGATAGGTTGAAAATGGGCAAGCTTACAATTGGTTAGATTTAAGTGGTGATCCAGAATTTTTAAATGGTGCTTATCTATTGCGATATAGGATCATTGACCTTGACCAAAAGGTGTTACTTGGTCATTGTACAGTGGATGTCCTCTCAACTACCACAATTAAAAAAAAGAAAAGAAAAACACCTCTGATTATGTCTGATTATTAAAAGTGATGAATGCATGACCCAAACTATAATCAACGTACATTACATAACCCTCCGACCGTCGCTGCCAGTCAGGTCCCCGTTGTTTGCGATCCTCCCCCTCGCG